CGGTGCCAGTGGCGCACCACCATACCTCGCAGTGATCTGTGAAATGCCTTCGCAACGGCGGACTGCACTAGAATTCCGCGCTTTGCGTCGCATGTGTAAGGCGATTTTGGCTGCGGCTTCCCGATATGATGCAAGATCCCGCCTTTCATTCCTGCCGCTTCTGACGCGCGGCATACTGTCTTGAGAAGCAGCGGCCAGAGGAGGGATGCCAGTGGGGTACTGAAGTACCTGCAGAGGGATGGCGGAATCAGATCCGGGCCTGCAGCCTTGCGCCCTGCCGTGTGGCGCAGGGCGTTCTCCAGATCGAGAAACGTGGGCATTTGATCCGCCGCAACAGTATCAGAACCGAGAAAGGCAGCTTGCGCATCCCTGCACTCCGACAGAAGGGCCTCAGCAGAAGTCGCAGTACCCCCCTCGAGCACCCGGAAATGATCCCTCCAAGTGGCCGTAACTTCACTCTCTGTGAGGCACTGGGTCCCATCTGCACGGAACAAGGTAGGGAGAGGATCGTTACAGGTCCTGCGGTACTTCTTGGGCTTCAGCACCTTTTTGACGAAAGTGTGCACAGCAGCAGGGTGCGCTGTAGTGATCTCCTCTGCAAAGTCAGCGTACATGCGGTTTCTGTCCTCCCTGCAGGCCCGCTTAAGCAAAAGCCCATACCGGTGAAGCAGCATGCAGCTAAGTCCGAAGCGAATCTCAAGATGCCATAGCCAAGCACCCCCGAACAAGCTTTGGAGGGTAGCGGAGGCATCCCGCCAGGCCAACATACAGCAGCGCAGAAGGGCCTGCTTAAGGGCACCCTTTTTGGTGCGGACCGCATGACGAAGGGAAGAAACGACCCGATGAATGGCGGCAGTGGACTCTGAGAGGTAGCCGGTATGCATGCGTCGACGCTGCAGAGGGAAGGCGTCCGCAAGGCTTCGATAAAGATAATCGACCACCTCAGCGGCATGCTCACTGGCATCAACATCCCAAGCGGGGCGCGGGGAGCCTCTGATAATCTGACAGACGGCTTCCGCATTGCCAGGTTCCGCAATAGCACGGGCGTCAATACGGCAAGGCCTGGCTGTGGCTCGGCACCGATTGGGAAAAATCAGCGAAACCTCAACAACGGCGGCAAAATGGTCCACCGAAGTGTGGCCAGCAGAAATCTCCGAAGAGGTCCAAGCCTGGCACCAGCTATCACGCCAAGAGGCGGGAAGCCCAACAAAATCCGAGCGGTCAAGAGCCCCACTACGCTTCTGGCGCAGGGTCCCGCCCTCGCCAAACATGCTGTGCTCGAAAGTGCTGGGTAAAAAGACGTTCATTCCCAAGAGCAGAGCATGGAAGCACTCTCCAGACTCGTCCTGGTAGTCGGGTTGAAATCCTCCGATGGCCTCGGAGACAAGGCTCCCTACCCTGCAGTTGGCGTCGAGTAAGAAGACCCAGGCTCCGCCACCCGAGTAGGTGTGGCAAAGATGCGACAGATGCTGCCACCACTGTCGTTTAGTATGGGCCGAGTGAGCGCGATGGGGTGCGTGCGCCACAAGGAAACGCATGGACAGGCCCTCAGCCTGTCCTGACGCAATGAGCACAGTGGGGGAAGAGTATAGGGCAACAATCGAAGCAGCCTGGCACGGACTACGATCATGAATCCACAGCTCGACCCCGAAGCAGCCCCTTTCGTCTGCTCCAGAAGCGAAGCGCGAATAATGGCCGCATCGTGAGAGACCAGGTGCAGTACGGCACTCCTGCAACCCGGCCACAAGGATGCCTGAACTGTGCAAGGATTGCTGCAGCAGTGAAGGGCGGCCTACGGCTCCTTGGAGGCCTCGTGCTCGTTCGTCCCCTCGCGCCCCATCGAGAAGCGAGAGCGCATTGAAACTTGCAAGCTTCCANNNNTGGCGAAGGGAATGCACGAAGGAAAGGGCGCATGGCAAAATCGGGGTTCCTTTCACATCGTCCCGGGCCCCGGCTCCAAGTAAGCAATTGCTGGTGAAGGCGGGGGAACTCGTCTCTTCGTGCTTGAGACAGGCATACATGAGGAAGCCATTTCAGCGCCTGAAGAGAAACAGAGGCGAGCGAGGTATCGAAAGTGAGTGGGAAAAGTGATTGACGTCCGCCTGCCCCATGATTAGCTAGTGCATCAGCAAGCTCATTGGCAAAATCCCCTGCATGGCCATGTACATGCTGGTAGTAAGGCGGCGTGGGTGCAGCAACTCCGGCAGCCGCGTGAAGGCAACGGACCGCCTGACACAGTGAGTCATCACGCATGCCAACGCATCCCTTGGCGCCCTCCAGAGCTGAAATGTTGTCAGCGCGAACCAGAAAGGGCACGCGTGTGACCAATTGTAGGATGGCCAGCGCAGACCATCCGAGGCCTGCGACCTCCGCAGAATAAGCATCGCTGGCCGCAAGCTCGGCGTGGTTGGGACCAAGAAGGGAAGCCATGTCACCGTAAAAGCACCCGACAAATTGCCCCGGCAAGCGGAGAGATTCGTCGACAAGGCTCACTACCAAACCCCATCCTACGCGTCCAGCGCTCGCCTGAAACGACCCATCTGACGTAAGGACGATAACATCATTAGGCGCGGGCACGCGACCAACAGCACCCTGACCAACCCAGTGTGCAAAACGATCGGGACGCTCGAGCCCGATGGGGGCACCTTGCAATTGGGGAAAGGATGCACGATGCAAGACAGAATCAATCTGTGCAGGGGATCCCGGGAGGAGGCATTGGCGTCCATCCAAGTCGAAGACCTCCGGCGACGAGGACCCACAGGCCTGCGTCGCTGTCAGTGGAAGCAAAGCATCCAGGCACAGGTGGCGCGCAGGCATATGAGAACGACCCAAGGGTCTCTGAGGCTCAAATGGAGTCGCCTCAGCACGCAGTTGGCGGGGGCAATGCTCGAGTAGAGTCTCCAACTGCGCAACAGCCTCAGAAAAGGGCGCGTGCTCGCTTCTGTAGACGCTGTCTTCGAGCAAAGTCTTGAGATGGAAATGTAAGATGCACTCAGCAATCGAGTCATCTACAAGAGGCGCCCCGATCGAGCTAGGGGTTCGGTCCGGGACCCCAGCATATGAAAAAGGGCCCAGGATAGGTTCGTGTCCCGACCGACAGGGTGTGGGCACTGGTCTTTGGCAGCATTGCCCATCCTTGAGGGAATCACGTCTAACTTGCATGGCCGCCACACGGGGCGAGTGCTGAAGACTCAGGACGAGGAGGCAAGCTGCGAGAGCCCGCCTACGCCGGACAAAAAGGAGACCGACGAGAAGGCAGAAACCATCCCTTGACGCCCAAGTTAAAAGCAACGCTAAAGCACCTGCGTAGCATGCCGATACCATCGCACTTATAAGCATAGGCGGCGTCGGCCCGCGACCGTACAACCGCCCTGTGAACACCGCACATAGGGGGCGACAACAGGCTGAGGTATAAGCGCGCCTAACATGTCCGCTCTGATCAGAAGCCGCGCTAGGCGTGTCAAGTGCATCACCCGGGGCCTCTTGGTGTGGCAAGCCAGAGGAGGCAGAGGGTCCAAGAATCGAAGGATCAGCCCGCGTAGCAAGACCAGACGGGAGGTCGTCATCAGTGCTTCCATCAGCAGCACTCAGTGGGACGGCAGTAACAACCAGCACATCCCCGCCCAAAACAGGAATTAGCCCAGCTTCGGTTTCTGTCGACCGCCTGCTTCCTGAGACACAGAGCCGATAGCCAGATAGGGCTGGGCGCATGCACTGTTCGCGGACGCGAGCAGCAGATACCCAACCATCGTGGGAGAGAAGCCAAGTCAGACCGCAAAGAATGGGCCGAAGATCCAGCAGAACCAGGCAGGATTGCGGGGATGCGCCTCCCTGGGGAACCTGCTGTGCAACACCAACATTCCAGGCAATGCG